TCTCGATGATGGGCGATCACGTCCACTACGAGCCGCCGCTCTTCTACAACTCCTCGAAGTTCTTCGAGATCGAGTACACCACCGTGGGCGATGTGATCCGCGTCCCTGAAACCGCGCGCGCCATGTGGCGCGAGCTCCCGGGGAAGCAGATCACGCAACGGATCGTTTACCTGCCCGAAGAGGGAGATCGCGTCATCGGCTTTAACATGCTCGGCTCGCGATGGAATCACCGCCTGCTCGAGCGCTGGATACGCGAGCGCCGCTCCATCGGCTTTGTCAAAGAGCACCTTGGCAGCGCACAGTTCGACGTCGAGTTTGGCCGCGCCCCACTCGAGAAAATGAAAGAGACGGAGGTCGCACCATGAGAGAACAGGGAAAGCTTGGCTGGTTCAAGCACGACATCACCCACCGCGGCATCACCGCGTGGCTTCTGTTTGCCATCCTCCTCCTCTTCTACTTCATCCTCTACTTCCCCGATAAGATCGGCGAGGGCGCGCAAGTCTTTGGCGCGAGCAAGGAGACGGTCGAGTGGGCAAGAGAGCTTGGCGGATCGCTCAATATCTTTGAAGACTTCATGCGCTGGCTCGGCGCCGCGCTCGGTTTCACGGTCAAGAAGTGGTGGGACCCGGTCTGGAACAAGTGGACGCTCTACGGCACGCTCTACACCGGCGGGATCGTCGGCGGCGGCATCTACATGATCCGCAAGTACTCGCACAACCGCTACCAGATCATCCGCATGATCGCGATCATGGTCACGCAGGCCATCTTCGCCTTCTCGCTCCCGATCATGCTCGGCGCCACGGGTCACAAGGACTACTACTTTAGCTACTTCTGGCCCCTCAAGATCGAGTACCTCTACCCTGAGAACCTGGCGAACATGCCGCTGTTTATGGTCCTCTACGGGGTCTTTGGCGGGCTCCTGCTCGTGCCGATCCTCGGCGCCTTCTTTGGCAAGCGCTGGTACTGCGCCTGGATCTGCGGCTGCGGAGGACTCGCCAACACATTCGGCGAGCCGTGGCGACAGCTCTCGAACAAGTCGCAGGCCGCCTGGACCTTCGAGAAATACTCCATCCACACGATGCTCGTGATCGCGCTTGCGACCACAGGGATCGCGGCGGCGAGCTTCGCGCTCGGGGATAAATCACCCGGCCTCCAGCAGACGGCCACGATCGTCAAGTACCTCTATGGGGTGTTCGGCGTGGCGCTGCTCTCGGGCGCGGTGGGCGTGGCGTTCTATCCGATCGGCGGCACGCGCGTCTGGTGCAGGTTCTTCTGCCCGATGGCCGCGCTGCTCGGGCTCGTGCAGAAGTTTGGCCGATACCGTATCACCGTCAAACGCAACATGTGCATCTCGTGCGGGATGTGCTCGAAGTACTGCGAGATGGGGATCGACGTGCGCGCCTACGCGCAGCGCAACCAGTCCTTTGTCCGCGCCTCCTGCGTGGGCTGTGGGCTCTGCGCCGAGGTCTGCCCTCGCGGCGTGCTTCGCCTCGAGAACAAGGCTGATCCCGATCCTCAGGAGCTCACCATGAACAAGCTCCTGACCCAGGGCTACAAGGAGGAACCACAGCGCAAGGCGGTGTGACCCTCATCGAATCAGAGCGCCTTCCCGGCGCGCGAAAAGAAGCCGCCGCGGCATTTTGCTGGATGGAATCAGACGACTCCAACCTCCCAGCAAAATGCCGCGGCGGCTTCTTTTCGCTAAAGCACCGAAACGTTGAAACAAACCGGCGCCCTCGCGTGCTATGATTTTTGCACCATATCGACGCGCACACGACGAAACGAACGAAGGGTTCTTTTCATGAACAGGACATCTCTGAGATCTATCGCGGCGTTCTGGCTCATCGCGTTATCCTCGGCGCCAGCGCTGGCGTGCGGCAACGTCATGCTCTCGAACTACATCCCCTCGACTGACCTGTGGGCGTTCACTGCGCCGCTCGCGTTTATCTGCATTCTCATCGCGCAGCGATTCAAACCTGCCGAAAAACAACTACAATACGCGATCTTCTTTGGCTTCTCGCTGGTCCCTAACATCGTCTTGTTCGCATCGGGCATCGAGCCCAAAATGATCTTGTTGGGGATCAACCTCCAGGGTTTGTTCGGGCTCTTCTTCTACGCGCTCACGCTCGTCAAAATCATCGAGCGCCCCCGCGAGGAACAGCCCGAGGCGTTTCGAGGCTACTACAATGGCTTCATGACGGTCTTTATCCTCGTCATGGCGATCGCCATCGGCGTCACGCTCGAAACGCTCGAGCCAACAAGCCCGGAGTTCTCGCCCAAGGATTACGGGAGGTTCACAGAAGCCGACCACAGCGTCCCCACAGATGTCACCTTTTAACCCACCGCGCCCATGAACGATCCGAGGCTCCATATGCGTAAAACCACCGGCTTTATCGCCACGCTCTCGCTCCTCACGCTCGCGCCTGCGCTGGCGATGGCATGTGGTAACGCGATGCTCGTGCACAATTACACGCCTTCGACGGTGGTCTGGGTGGCGAGCATGCCGGTGGCGGTGATCCTCGTAAAGCTCATCGACCGCATCAAACCGGGCAGCGTGCAGTTGCAGCTCGCGCTGCTGTTCGGGTGCGCCACGATCCCCAACCTCATCTACTGGCTCTTCGCGCTCGAGACAAACGTGATCCTCCTCGGGTTCAACGCCATCGCAGCGATCGGTTTGATCGGTTACGCGGCGCTCTTCGTCCACATCATGCGAGAGCGCCTCGTGGAGCCAAGCGACGAGTACGTCATCCACGCCCCCTTCAAGACAAAGCTCAAGATCTTCGCAGGAACAATCCTCGCAGTGTGCTGCATCGGCTTCGCGCTCGAAGCGCTCGAGCCCGACGAGCCCGAGACCACCTACGAAGGTGGCTTCCACGAAGCGGAGTCCATCTCCACCGAGGTCACGTTCTGAGGACGCAGAAGAGATAGAGCGCCGCGCTTTTAGAGCATCGCGTTCCACAGGCTCGCGTAAAATCGCGTCGGGTCGAGCGTCTCCGGCAACCCCGAGACGCCGCCATCGCCCACCTCGATGATCGCCCACTCGCCATCCTCGCGCAGCGCCACATCCATGGTCATAAAATCACTCTGAAACGCGCCCGCGATCCTCTCCCAACGCGCCCGGTGCTGCATCGGGTTTACCTCCTGATTCCCACCAGGAACCACGACCAGCTCTCCGCGAAAGAAGAACAGCCTCACCTCGTCGATCACGGGTATCCCACGGAGCGCGCCACCTTTTTTGGCCAGCGATAAATACTCGCGCAAGACCACCCCGCGGTTAAACAGCGTGCCGCGCGCTTGCCGAAAGACGCCGAAGATCTCTTTAAAGCGCTCGCGCGAGGTGTTCGCCGGGATAAAGCAGCCATCCTTCCAGTGATATTTGGCGGACTTGACCCAGTCCTTGATAAGCGCGTCTTTGCCGCGAAACGAGCCGTGATAAAGCGCCCACGCCTCCTCCTCGTCATCCCCGAGGATCCACTCGCTCCTCGCCGTGAACCCCTCGATATGTGGATACGCCAGCGGCAAATAGTGCGCCTCTTCATAGGCTGCAGGAGAGGTCAACAACGTGTATCCGCGCGCCTCGAGGCGCGCGTGTAGCGCGGCGTACTGCTCTCCCGAGAGCATCCACCCACGAAGCAACAGCCGCATCTTCTCCTCGCCATCCAGCCGACGCAACGGTCTCAACGCCTCGCCCCACTCGCCAGCGACCACGGCCTCGTGAGAGTAAAAACATGCATCGAAACCGATCGCTCGCGCGGCGGCGTATTCAGACGAGAACGCATCGTCCACGCGCCTTGGCTCGAAAGGCTGGTGCGGAAACAAAATCTTCACTGGTACACTCAAGGGCTCTCCTCTCTCGCCGGAACACGCGTGTTGCTTTCGCTCCGAGACCGTGACATTGCTACCCTCTTCGAGACGAGAACAAAGCGCGCTCGCCAGCCAGGAAAGATGGCGACATATCGCGCGCGAGGGTGACTTCAAGCAGAGTGATCATGGCTGCCTACGACTTTCATTATCGGCCAGACATACAGGGTATGCGAGGCATCTCCGTCTTGCTCGTGGTGCTCTTCCACGCGCACCTCTATGTCACTGGTGGTTTTGTCGGCGTCGACACCTTCTTCGTCATCTCCGGTTTCGTGATCTGTGGCGGGTTCTTCAAGAACGTCCAACGCAACAGAGATGTCTCGCTGGCGAGCTTTTATTCTCGGCGTGTGCGACGACTGCTCCCCTCGCTCTCGGCCTTGAGCGTGGTGGTTTTGCTCGCTGGGGTCTTTCTGGCGCCTTATTCGAGCGTTCGCTTTATGGCCCACACGGCCGTCGCGGCGACCTTCTTTAACGCGAACCACTACTTGATGGCTGGCGCGGGGTACTTCGATCCAGCCGCCGAGAAAAACGCCTTCTTGCACACATGGTCGCTCTCGGTCGAGGAGCAGTTCTACTTTGTCCTCCCCTGCTTCATCCTGTTGATCCTTTGGCTCGCCAGGAAAAAACAAAAGGATCACCTGAAGCTGTTCTCCTGGGCTTCTTACGCCGTGTTCGGCATCTCGTTCGTGCTCGCCGCGTGTTTTGTCCACCTCCATGGACAGACCGTGAACCTCGGCTTCACCGAGGTTCAACTCTCCTCGCGCCACGCGTTCTACCTGACCCCCTTGCGCGCCTGGGAGTTTATGGCTGGAGGCATCCTCGCAGCAAAGATCCCCACGCTTCGCCCGCTCGAGAAGACCCCGAGAACACTCGTCCTGCTCGCCGGGTTCGCGCTGTTGCTCGTGAGCGGCCTGCTCTACTCGGCAAAGACGCCATTCCCAGGGCTCTACGCGGTGTTGCCTGTGGCGAGCACCATGTTACTGATCCGCGCGGGCTGCGGCAGCGAGGAAGCCGCCAGCAAGGGCATCCTCGCGAACCCAGTCCTGGTGCGGATCGGAGACCTCTCCTACGGGTGGTATCTGTGGCACTGGCCGCTGCTTGTCTTCGCGCACGCGAGCATCCCGGACATGTCCATCGGCATCCTCGCCATCACTCTGGTCATCTCGCTCGGGCTCGCCTGGCTCAACGAAAAGTGGCTCGAGCGCCCATTCCGAAAACACCTGCCGCCATCCTACAAGATCTCGGCGCTGCTCTTTGCCATATGCCTCGCGCTGCCCGTGATCGCCTGGAGGGTCCACAAGAAGATCCTCGCCAGTGTCTCCACGAGCCAGGAGATCACCGCGATGGTGCAGATGGAGAAGGAGTATATGGCGATCGGCTGCAACACGACGCCCTATGACCCGGAGCAAAAGAGGTGTCACTGGGGCGATGAGGATGGCGAGAAGCCATGGCGCGTGGTGCTCGTGGGTGACTCGAACGCCAGACAGTTTATCCCGATGTTGTCCGAGGTTGTCCCCGAGCTGGGCGGCGAGTTCTACGCATCGACGTTTAACAACTGCGCCTTCTCTGACCTTCGCCCGATGAACCGGGGCGCCGAGTACAGTAACTGCACCGATTGGCTCGAGAAGACCACCGCCGCGCTCGAGAAATCACCGCCGACGCTGCTGCTGATCTCGGCCTCCTACGATGGCTACATCAGCGACCCCAAGTGGTCCTTTGTCGACAAGCAATCCGGTGAGTCATTCGCTGGCGAGGAAAAGATCGAGGAGGCGCTCGACGCCTCTGCGTCGAGGCTCGTCGCGCGCTTTCGAAAGAAAGGGATCGAGGTCGCCTTCATCAAGCCGATCCCGAAGTTCTCCCCCAAGGATGTGTACGACAGCGAACCGGGGCTCCTCGAGCTCTACAAGGGGATGGATTGCTCCATCTTCCGCCTGATGCGTTATCCCGAATCGTGCGGCATGACCCGACCGATCAAACAACCCGATCACCCCAAATGGCGCGACGAGAACCTCGGGAGGAGCGCCTACAAGAGCTCGCTCGGGCAAAACGGCGTGCACGAAGTTGTCGTCGACGAGGTGGTCTGCCCGAACGACACCTGCGCCTGGTGGGATGACGGCGAGTGGCTTTATAGAGATACGGCCCACCTCTCGCCGGAGGGTGTGCGAAGGCTCGCGCCGCTGCTGCGGGAGTTCATCCAAAAACGCATCGAGAATCAGTGAGCAAAAAAGAACCCCCGACGCGTTCGCGTCGGGGGTTCTTTTTTACGCCGTGGCGATGTCGTCATCGAGCGCGAGCAACCTCACGTTCGATGCGAAATCATCGTTCACTCAGCAGCTTTCTTGGGAGCCTCGAAGTTGATCTTGAGCAAGACCTCTTTCTTGATCAGATCGTCGGGCTTTCCTTTGTACTCGATGCCGAAGTCGAAACGGTTCAGGTTGAACTCGGTCGAAGCCGAGACCACATCACCCTCGGTGCTGATACGCGCGGGGAAGGTGATCGACTTCTTCTGGCCATGGAGGTCCATGTTGCCGGTGACGGTGTGCGTGAACGCAGCTTGGCCTTCGCCAGGCTTGACGTCCGAGCCTTCCTTGATCTCGGTCGAGGAGAAGGAAGCCACGGGGTATTTCGCGACGTCGAAGAAGTCAGGGCTCTTGAGGTGACCCGTGAGCTTCTCGTTGTCCGAGGTCACCGAGGTGGTGTCCGCGTTGAACGCGATCGCGGTGACCTTGCCAGCGTCGTCGACCTTGATGGCGCCGTTGAAGTTCTCGAAGGTGCCCTTGTGATCGCCGGTGACTTTGGCGCCAACCCACTCGATCTTGGACTTCTCCTGGTTGATCGCGATGCCTTCGACGGCAGGAAGCTCGCCAGCCTTCTTCTCGTCAGCTTGCGACTCGGGTGCGTCAGCGCCGCCCGTGGTCTCAGCGGTGGTTTCGGCAGGCTTGGAGGTCTCGACAGGCTCGGAAGCCGTCACGTTAGGCTTGCCCTCCGTCTCGCTCTTCTCACATGCGACAAGACCAACGCTCGCCAGACTCACCAACAGGCTCAACGCCAAAACTTTCTTGCTCATCACTCTAACTCCTTATGTCCTTTCGGTTTTCAATCCCTCGAGTGTAAAACTCCACCGGGTGAGCCTGTTGACGCCGCGCGCCAATCCCCTCACCACTCATGACTCGAGGTCTGATGACTCGATGCAAGTCGAGCACGCTCGAATGCAACTTTTTACAAGCAGGATCGTTTCCGGGTATCTCGATGAAATTAACCGGATCGTGCTCGGTCCCAAACCTTAGAGCAGATCTCCATACAAGCAAGGTTGAACACCGCAACAGTTTGTTTCCAGCGCGGAAACATGCGAAAACGACGCTCGAAAAACCGTCGAAAAAACCGCCCCCAAAGGGTACACAAAACAAGCCTCGCGCTTAGATTATAAGCCTGAATGAGCCCGCTCACACGAACCTTAAAGAGGACGCGAAACAGACCATGACCGAGACCAAACACAAATGCCCGATTTGCAAGGATGCATCCCCTCCCCGCGCGGAGAACAAGACCTTTCCGTTCTGCTCGCCGCGATGCAAACAGGTCGACCTGGGACGCTGGCTCAACGAGGAGTACCGCATCCCCATCGACGAACACTCCACCGAGCGCTCGCTCGTCGCTGACGAGCCCGACTACGACGCCTGAAGAAAGAAAAAGGGCGCTCCCCCAAACCAGGGGAGCGCCCTTTTTCGTGCCGTTCACGCGCGAGAAATCACTGGATCTCGGGCGGGAGTGATTTGCTCAGCGAGACGCTCACCGAGGTGGCGTTCTCCTTGGTGATGTAGACGTGGCGAATCCAGCGATCGTAGCCGTCGTTGTTGACCTCGAGGAGGTACTTCCCTGTGGGCAACTTCAGCTCCTTATCGAGCGGCGACGTGCCCGAGAATGGCTCCGGCGTCTCTGTCGGCTTGTCCACCGCCTTGGGGATGAGCTTGACGCTCGAGCCCTCGACATCGACGCTGATGGCGAGCGTCCCGTAGAAGGTCATCCTCTCGAGCGTCACCGAGCGCTCGATCGCTTCGCCCGCGGGCGCCGTCAGCGAGAACGTGTCCGAGATAAAATCAGTCGCCGTGACCTCGACATCATAGGAGGTCTTCTCGGCGGAAGCCTGACCCGAGTGCCCGGCGCGCTCGCGGCGCTCCTGCTCGAAGTCCTCCTTGTCCGAAGGAAGCTTTGGAGGCAACACGAACCCCTCGACCTTCCCCTCTCGCGAGAGCACGTAGCCTCGCACCGAGATCTCGGCCATCAGCTCGCTCTCCTCTTTTTTGGGGTACTTGCGCTCGGTGCTCAACGAGAGCGTCGCCCAGTCAGGGTTCTGCTTCTTGCACTTGGCGATCCCTTCCTTGGAGAACTTGATCGCCTCCTCGTCGCGCCCCTGGCTCGCGTAGATCTGGTAATGCACGATGGCATCGGCGCAGTTCTCCTTGGCCAGATAAATCTCACCGAGGTTGAAGTGCGCGATCACGTAGTTCTCGGGGTCCACGGCGATGGCGCGCTTGTAGTGCTTGATGGCGCGCGAGAGGCCGTTGTAGGCGACGTACTTGTTCGCCTTGGCGAACTCCTCGTAAGCCTGCCAGGGGAGCTTTGGCTTCTTCTCCTCTTCTTTCTTCTCGCTGCTCTTCTTCTCTCCCTTACTTCCCTTGCTGCCACCGCTCTGCGCCATGACAGGCGCAGCCGACAACGCGAACGCGAAGCAGAGGCAAAACAACAGTCCTCTCGAGGTGATGGTGCGTCTCATATCTGGGCTCCTTACCTGGTATGGCTCTGCTCGAAGGTGCGCAACACATTGGGGAAGCGACCTCGCCAGTATGACCAGTCGTGCGTCCCGCCTGTCTCTTCGACATGTTCGAAGGTGCAGCCAAGCTGCGCGAGTGTATCTCTCATTAAACGCGTCACGTCCGCATTATCATTCGGGCTCCCGCTGTCTATGTAATAGCTGAGCCCCTGACAACCACGACGTTCCACTTCGCGGATCATGAACTGATCCGCCCAAAAGAACGACGATGACATCCCCGCGGTGTATTCAAATGTCCCTGAATATTGAAGCGCAGTCCAGAAAGAGATCAGCCCTCCGAGGCTCGCGCCAACAAGTCCCCGCGCGCCAGGCTCCGCGCGCGTTCGAAACGCCGCGTCGATCATCGGCACGAGCTCCGTGGCCAAAAATTCTGTGTACGCATCTCCTCGCGCTCCGTCTGATGCCATCGTGTACTCGTCGAAACGATCCTCCTGCGCGGGCAACGCGACAAACACCAGGATCACCTCGGCGTTCCCCTCGGCAGCGTACTCGTCCGCGACCTGGTGGAACTGACTTCGCACGATGCTCTCGTTGCCATCCTGCACATACAACACGGGATAGCGTTTGCTCTCATCCTGGTCATAGCTCGCGGGCAAGTGGATATACACCTCGCGCACATTTCCCATCACCTGGGACTCGACCTGCATCCACCACACCATCCGGCTGCCCGAAGCATTCGAACCCCTGTGCAGGATCGAGTTAAACGACCCGATCGTCCCCGGATCAAAACCATCCCACTCGATATGCCGGTTGCTCCGATCCGTGAACCAGGCGTCATTGCCATCAAGCCCTGGGTAAGCCAGCTTGTAGGGATAACTGCCGTCAGGAACCTGCAAGAACCTCCCCCAAAACTCACCGACTACACGGCGCATTCGATTATCCTCGATGTTTGTGGCGCCCCACTCGTTAAACTCGCCACGCGCCTGCGGCGCACCTGCCTCCCCGCCGAGGTTGTCATACGGCGCCAGGAAGAAGACGCCCTGCGAACTGACAACAGGGCCTGCGCCCACCTCGCGCAGTGCATCCATCAGGTCGAGCACCACGGCGGCGTCATCTTCTTGCGTGTTAATGCGATAGAGCGCCTCGTCGAAGAGAGGCCCGACCGTACCACTCGGCCTGTCTGGCGCGTCCAGATCAGCCTCGGCAGGTTGTGCCGCGCGCGTGATCCTCAGCTCGCCAGCAGCGGACACGTTGACCGAGAGCTCCTCGTCGAGCGCCGAGAACAACAGCGCCCCCTCGCCAGCATCACTCGCCGTGACGAGCGCCTCACCATCACGACGCGCGAGCCCTGTCGGGGTGCCATCGCCAGGCAACCTCCAAGTTTGCTGCTGGCGCTCGACCTCCACGCGCCACATCCCCGCGGGGAGATTCACGGTAAATGATGGCGCCTCATCCTGTGAACGCTGCTCGATCGCCGCGGGCAACGGCGCGCCCTGTGGCAACAGCCCCCACTCCACAGGCTCGAAACGAAGCGCGACTTCACCATCCTCGACAGGTCCCATATCCTGTGGCGTGGAGGTCATATCACCAGCATCGCCCATATCAGCGCTGTTGCTCGGCTCCATGTCCTCCGCGCCAGCGCCCATGTCTGACGAGGAGGCATTGTTTTCGGCGTTCATACCGCCCATGTCCTCGTCTGATGCGGGTTCCTGCGGGCAGCCCGTGACGAAGAGCGCCGACAATGCAACAATCGCGGCGAGTTGGTGTCCAATAAAATGGCGAGCGCGTGCGTTGACGTTCATGGGAGTCTGGACCTGTGTTTGGCGAGGATATCGCGATGTCTTCTTGCCGGTTGCGCCGAGACGCCAATACAACGATAGAGAGGTGGTCGACGTTGACAGAATTTCATGTCACTTGGCAGCCTTGATTCATCGCAAATCGAACCTCCGAGATCAAGTCATGGCAAGGTTGAAGCTGATCAGTAACATCTCCGAATTCGGGCTCTTTCACGGGATCGCCAGGACCCGCGCGAGGTTGATCGTTTCCACGCTGATCGCCACCGCGGCCTGCATCGGTATCGGCCTGGCGAGCGCGAACTACATCATGGAGACCTCGACCTCGGTCATCCTCAATATCCTGATCATCGCCGCCAACATGCTCGTCATGATGATCGCGGGGTATTTGCAGACGATCACCATCGGGGACATCTTCTTCAAAGGCCCCTGGCGCGAGCAGGTGATCTTGGGCCAGCGCACCTGGAAGGAGGACGCGGACGCGGATGTCGTCGTCGCCAACCACAACGCCGAGTTCATGATCATCCTCGGCCTCATGGTCGTCATCAACGCCATCGCCGTGAACACCCTGGCCGATGGCTTCTTCCAGCGCTACCAGGAGGAGGGGTTCTTTCGCGCCAAGATGCGCTCGGCAGATTCTGAAGAGCGCGTCGAGGCCCTGCGACACATGGCCGATCCCACGCAGTTCTCGCTCTGGGAGAACGTGCACATCCAACAACTGGTCGAGAAATCACTCTCGGATGAGGACGCCAGGGTTCGCGAGCAGGCCGCGTGGAACGCGGGCGTAATGAAGGTCAAGATCGCGCGTGACGAGCTCGTCGCGCTGGTCGGTGACAAGAACCTCCCCGACAGCGTGCGCAGCGAAGCCGCCGTCGCGCTCGGCAAGCTCGAGCCCGATGTCACCGCAAGAAAAGCACTCGAGGCCGCGATCCAGGAGAACAAGAGCCCCGTGCTCACGCTCGGGATGCTTCGTGGCCTGGGGATGATGGAGCAGAAGGACTCGTTCCCCTACATCCTCGAGGTCGCCAAGAAGCCCGCCAATGACGAGATCATGCTCTACGCGCTCTGGGCGATGCACCGCACGCAACACCCCGAGGCGCGCGTCTGGCTCCACGAACAGCTCGAGGCAAAGCCGAAAGGCCAGCGCCAGTGCGCCTTGCTCGATGCGATGAAGATGGTCTCGACGCCCGAGGATATCAACTGGGCGCGCAAGAAGTTCATGAGCACGCCCAAGGAGCAAAAGTGCGAGCGCGTCGTCTGGGAAGAGCGTGACGAGAGCCAGCGCACCATCGTCTTCTCGGACACGCTGCGCACCAAATACATGAAGATCGTCGCCAACTCCGGCGAGTCCGCGAAATACCGCTCCTGGTTCCAGCGCATCGTCAATGACCCCAACGAGCCGTGGTCTGTCCGCGAGTCGGGCTCTGACATCATCCGTCAGCTCAATCAGGCTGGCCTCTGATCGCTCCTCCGCGAGCGTCGGTGCTTTAGCGAAAAGAAGCCGCCGAGACATTTTGCTGAGAGGTTGGAGTCGTCTGATTCCATCCAGCAAAATGTCTCGGCGGCTTCTTTTCGCGCGCCGCAAAGGCGCTCCCCTTCTCGACCTGCGTCACACGATCAAAAAGGATCTTCGCTCCTGCAAAAAATCCCCTCACACTGTAGCGTCTGGAGCAAATCAAAAGACGAGGCATGATCATGGAAAAGACAATCGCGCTCGAGGAACAGGTCATCTGCGTCACGGGCACAGACAACAACAAGGCCTGGTACAAGAGGCTCGACGCCGCTGGCGTCAAGACGACAAAGAGCATCGCCAAAAAGACAACGCTCGTGATCGCGCGCGCCACGTGGGGGCGCCTCTGCACCGAAGCGAGGTTGAAGGGTCTCCCCATCATCGACGAGAAGAAGGCCGAGACCTTGCTCTCGACTGGAGAGCTCACCATCACGGTCGAGGACGAGCCCGAGGGCGAGTCGATCTCGACCCAGATCGCCGAGGCGCGCGCGATCCTCGATGGCAAGCCCGATAACAACACATGGGTCGCGCTGGTGAAGCTCGTCGACGAGACCGCCAGCGAACAACTCGGTGAGCTCGTCGATTACCTCGATCCGATCATCTCCAGGTGGACGCCGAGTCCAGAGGAGTACACATCGCTCGATGGGGGACTCGGTCACTCCGACTTCATTTTCTGGGACCGTGGCCTGCGACCTGGCGAAATCTGCGTCATGCCGCCGATGTGGGTTAGCCAATGCCTCGCCGGTGGGCCCGACGAGAGGCTCAGGTTGGTGCGCTCCATTGTCATGAACGAGATCCCGTTCAAGATCACTGGCCTGAAGAAGATGCTCGATAGCCCTCACCTGACCAACCTGAAGTCGCTCCTCTTTGGCGATGGCAAGAGCGTCAGGCTCTCGCCGAGCTTCTACAAGAGCCTCCCCAAGATGAACGGCACTAAAGAACTCGAGAGCTTGATCCTGAGCAGCTGGAATGAAAAATCACTCGCGGCGCTGGATGCCTGGTCCGAGTGGTCGAGCGTGCGCAGGCTCGGCTTCAACGGACATGGTCAATCCGCCTTGATCCAAAAGCGCGACGAGAAACACATGACCGCCCTTTACCGATCCGCGTTCGGGCAACAAATCACCGCGTTGCAAGTCGATACGGGGTTCTCTCCAGGATATTTTGACTACGGGCTCGCTGATCTCGACGAAACCTGCCTGCCAAACCTCGAGCGCCTCGAGCTCTTTAGCAGGTCCATCGACCACCTCCACTACTCGCTGGAGCGCGCTGCGTTGGTGCCGCGAGAGGTTCCCACGCTGGCGTTAATGGGCCCAGCCAACTCCGTGAGCGCGAAGGCGATCGAGGCGCTCGTCAGCCACGAAATCCCCAGATTTACGACCCTCGATCTGTCGGCGCTGGGCTTCACCGCGCAAAAGGCAGACACCTGGTTTTATGTCCTGGATGACGAGGATCGAGAAGGGGTCGAAAAGGAAGACGCCAAAGCCACAGCGATCGCCCTCTTCCGTCAACGCTTCGCCGAGCACTTCGCAGGGTCTCCGCTCGCCAGGAGCATCGACTCCATACACCTCGGCTCGACGCTTTATGATCCTGACTTCGCCGAGAAGCTCGGTGATGCAGGGGTCGAGGTATCGTAGCGGGTTTGGCGTCTCTGTTTTGCGTTTTGGAGCTTCGAGACGTTCAGTGAGGTATGCGAGCGCCCCCCTTCTCGACCTGCGGTCTCGGTCGGGCCCCCGCGTCTGGCTTGTTTCAAGAGTTATCCAGTCGGCAGGCCGACTGGATAACTGGCAGCCCCCACGTTCGTGGGGGCTTATTCTATAGCTATCGATTCAAGTTTTTGTCTTGCAAAGTGGCACCTTCATGAAGCGCACTGCTCGAATCGAAGCTCCCTCAGACGACTCCAACCTCGCAGCAAAATGTCTCGGCGGCTTCTTTTTCACGCGCTGCAAAGGCGTCCTCTGACAGGAGCCCCTATCGCTCAGGTGCGATCGCACAAGTACAGGCCTGTCGAGGTCGGCGTACCTGTGGTTTGGAAGCGCTCGACGGTCAGCACGCCATCCTCACGCTCGCCGAACACCCAACGGCTGCCGTAGTCCTCGAGGCTGAAGGTCTCGCCATCTGACTTCAAGACACCGCTGGCGTTGATCGTCATTCTCAACCTCTCGCCACGCTCGCCACCGACGAGCTCGTATTCGTGGCCACGGATCGACCAGGAGTCCCCCTCGAGCACAGTCAACTCGACGATCTCGACGACAGTGATATCGCGCTCATCATCATGGCGAGGTTCGGCCCAACACACGAGCGCATTTGCCTCGTCGACTGCCACAGATCCGCTCGATTCCACGCTCGCTCGGGCGTCATCCACAAACTTCGTGTAAGGATCGCCACCACACCCGATGCACATACCCGCGATCAACATCAACACACTCACGACCATCGCCTTCATCACAGATCTCTCTTGCCTTGGTTGTCTGAAACGAACCGCGCCTCTCGCGGCTCATCTCTTCAGACGGGCGAGGCATTGACTTATGCATCATTATAAAACTTACAATACTATAAACAAAACCTGCACAAACAGTTCACACCTCGCGTCGCCAGATCATCAGCATGTCACCGTCATCGAGCGTCGCCGTCTCCCCCTCGAACGTCTCGACCTCTCCCTTGACCTCCTGCATCCCGTTCACGAGCATGCTGCCGTCCGGCGAGATGGCCAACGCCTGCGTGAAACCAGGGGCAAAGAGCTGTGACTGCCATTTTGACTTGCCCGTCGCGACGTCGAATGCTTCGACCCACCCTCCATTGGGACAATCCCTGGAGTAGCGGTTGAAGAAGACGCCGATGACCACGTCTGGATCGAGCGGATCGAAGACAAAATCGCGAGCGTGGCCGCGCGTCTCAACCTCACTGGCCAGAGCACCTGTCGCCACGTCGAACGCTCGGATCACGTGAGGATCACCGCTCACCCATACCGACTTTCCATCCGGCGAGAAGCGCGCCTGGTAGAGCCAGCCAGAGCCTGTGATGTCTTGCAGGATCTGCCCTCGGCCCGCGTCCAGGATCACGACTCTGCCACTGCTCGTCGCCGCCGCGAGTAAGCTGCCATCAGGTGACGTGCTCATCGCGAAGAATCTGTTATCGAGCTTCGTGTCGACGATCCTCGCCCCCGTCGTCAAATCGATGCAGACGAGGTACCCCTCTCCGGCGACCCAGGCGCGAGTGCCATCCTCGGTGAACACGATCCCATGCATCTCGCCCTTGAACTTCTTGATCTTGATCTTGAGGCGTCGGTGCGTCTTGACATCGAACAGGCAGAGCGACTTCCCGCCTGAAGCCACACGCGCTCCATCCGGATCGAACGCGACGGCGTGCATGAAATTCGCCCCCGTAT